TCTTTTTCTTTTTTGTAGCATCCCCATGATCATGTGATCAAAATTCAGAGGCTTGACGTGGGAATTGAAAAATAAAGTTGAAACAGAATATTGCAAGATGTGGAATAAATTTTACTGATGGATGGAACAAAAAAGAAAAAGAGGGACACAATAAATAATGACTAGGATCTCTAGAATGGAAAACTAGAATTATGTATGTAATTATAACAGAGGGAAAATGTATAAGACAAGATCAAAGTAACATGGTTGTAAGTAAGATGACTTTATATTTGTAAATACTGAATAGCCCAATTGTAAATAAGCAAGGTGGTTATGATATTTAGTTTTCTATTTTTGTATGTAAGGCAAAGGCATTGCCAGGACGGTTACACTGTGTCCGATGTTATATTGTGTGTTTAATAAAAAACTTTTTTAAAAAGAAAATTCAGAGGTTTGGCAATTGGTTTATATTTATGCCCGTTGCTGTATCCCAAGATCATGTGATCCCCTTTTATGACATTCTGACAAGCAAAGTCATTGGGGAAGCCAGATTCACTTAACAACCGAGTTACTAATTTATCAACTGCAGTGATTTGCTTATAACTGAGGCAAGAATGGCTGTAAAATGGGGCAAAACTCACTTAACGAATGTCTCGTTTCACAACAGAAATGTTGGGCTCAATTGTGGTCATAACTCGAGGACTCTCTGCATAATGTGTGTTAATGGGCACCTCTGTGTTCCTATTGAACAAGCACTTTATTCTTATCAACTTGTTGGCTAATTTGCAGGTACAGGTAGTCCTTGACTTAGAACCATTTATTCAGTGACTGTTCAAAGTTAGGGCACTGAAAAAAAGTGACTTTCAACTGGTCCTCGCCTTTATAACTATTGCAGCATCCCCACTGTCATCGGATCAAAATGCAGGCGCTTGGCAACAAGCAGGAACTCATGGCGGTTGCAGCATCCTGGTCCCCATTTGCAAACTACTCATTTCCCTTCTGAGAAGCAAAGTCAATGGGGGAGGCCAGATCCACTTAACGACTGCACTGATCCTCTTAACAAACATGGGAAAAGTCTATGGAGATTCTTAGTCATCCAGGCCATGGTTGTCCCAAAGGTGCTTTTTCAAAAGTGCAAAGGAGCTGAAGAAGCTTCTGGGATGAAAAGTGAAATGTCTTCAAAGAAAAACCAAAAAGTTCAGTTGCCTCTTGAAAAAAAAAACACCTTTAGGACCACCATGGGGAAAACGTCATAAAACTGGGCCCAACTCACTTAACAACCTCCTTACTTAGCAACAGAGTTTCTGGTCCCAGTTGCGGTTTTAAGGCGAGGACTACCTGTAATCTTAGCAACTGCACTTAGTGACCAAACTTATAACAATGCTAAAAAATGACATTAGCAACCAGTCCTTGCATGTATGACTTTCTTTTTTCCCTTTTCTTAAAAGTTTTTTTTTTTTACAAACATATCAATGCGAGAACAGTGTGGCACCTGAGTGTCATACATTTTAATACAAATAAAGTAGTATTAATCATATTTGTTTCATTTAACAAGCTTATATAATCCTTGTAATAATACACATATTTTTATTAAATTATAATCTTTCATTGTTTAATCATTCAATATTTCAATGTGTCATTTCTATGGCAATCACCCGATTCTAAGGGTCATACCTTTCAATACAAATAGAATACCATTAATCCTATTTATTACTTTTAACTGGCTTATATAATTCTAATAATAGTACAAACATTTATGCTAAATTGAAATCTTCCATTATCTGCTTGTTCAATTTATAATCCTTCATTATTTAATTATTCAATAGTTCAATATGTGAAATACATCAATCACCATATTCTGCATGTCATACATTTTAATACAAATAAAGTATTTTTGATCATATTTGTTTCATTCAGTAAACTACACCTATTCATATTGAATTATAATCTTTCATTATTTATTTAATCAGTAGTTCGATATATTATTTTTATGCCAGTCACGATATTATTTAAGTATACTTAGTATAGGGGTGGGTCCCTGCCAGTTCTAACCTCTTCTATAGAAGAGGTTCCACAAATCTACAGTGCCATTTAGAATGGTTCCAGCTCCCTCCCCCCGCCTGTCTGAACATCATCAAGATGAAGAGCAAGAGGAGGAATTCTGGGAGTTGAAGTCCACAAGTCTTAAAGCTGTCAAGTTTGAACACCTCTGGGGTTTTTTTCTAAAGGGTTAGGGGTGCAAGGGTAACTTGAAAGCTTTAAGATTTGCGTGCTTCAAATGCCAGAGTTTCTGAGCCAACATTTTGGTTGCTAAGCAAGAGCGTTGTTAAGTGAGTTTCATCACATTTTACAAGTTGGCTATGCCCACCCAGTCACATGGCTGGCAAGCCACTCCCACAAAACAGGCCACACCTACAGAAGAGGTTCTAAAAAATTTGAAACCCACCACTGACTTAGTAATACCATCATTCAAATTCTAATTTCCCCTCTTACTATTACTTCTCCTTATTATATAAAAATGTGCATTTTATTAATCCCACCCACTCAAGTTTTCATCCCTTTATGACTTTCACGGTGTCTCTCTGCTCTTATTTCCACTTGCTTATTTACTCCATATCGGGATGGCCTCAGAGAGGAAGTACCCCAGTTCACCCGAAGGACATATCCAGAAGCAAAGGAAAACTGATCATAAAATCATAATCATAACGAAAATCATAACACCCGGGTCATGTGATTTTCACTTAGCGGCTGCTTTGCCCAACAGCCAAGTTGCCAGGCCCAATTCTTCACTAAACAAGAACTACCTTTAATTGACTCCCTGTGGTAAAACTATACACATTTCACTAAGGAATTTCTCCTCCCTTAATTAATTACTAACAAAAGGAAGAAGGGAAGCTAGTCCTTACCAGCACACAACTTCTCGAGACTGTCCAAGGAAGAATGAGGTTCATCTCACCCAAGGCAGATCCCCCTGTCTGCAAAACATAACCTTGAATTAAATCCTGGATACATTCCTCGGCAACCTCGTCCAGGTCAAATACAACATACAGTACATCATTTCTTAGGCTTCCCTCACTCAACAGTCATGATTGAGTTATTTCTGGAAACTATCCCAAATTCCTCCTCTTGAGACCGGGAGCCACTTACGTGGGAGATGGTATAGACAGGGGGTTCAGGTTGGCACTGGCTTGAAGATCCCGGCTGGCATAAGGCGGAACTAAAGGAAGCCGGTGTGCGAGAATGGAAGTTTAAGTGAAGTTGCAGAAATTTCACACTGAGAGATACATTCCAGGTAGTATCTAAGAAAGAAAAAACAAAGTCAGCTGTGTTCATTCTTCAGCCAATGCTCTATTATTTCTAATCTTTTGAGGAGAAATATGTTACCGTATATATGATAAATGTACTAAAAATAAGTATGAGCCACGGTGGTGCAGTGGTTAGAGTGCAGTACTGCAGGCTACTTCTGCTGACTGCTGGCTGATGCAATTTGGCAGTTCGAATCTCACCAGGCTCAAGGTTAACTCAGACTTCCATCCTTTGGAGGTGGGTAAAATGAGGACACAGGTTGTTGGGGGCAATGGGCTGACTCTGTAAAGCACTTAGAGAGAGCTGTAAAGCACTGTGAAGCGGTATATCAGTCTAAGTGCTATTGCTATTGACTCAGACTTCCATCCTTTGGAGGTGGGTAAAATGAGGACACAGGTTGTTGGGGGCAATGGGCTGACTCTGTAAAGCACTTAGAGAGAGCTGTAAAGCACTGTGAAGCGGTATATCAGTCTAAGTGCTATTGCTATTGAGGTCATTCACAAATTCATTCTGGTTAAATAAAAATTGTCTCTGTTAACTATTGCAAAACGTTACTTAGGAGTAAACTCTTCGAGTTGCTCTAGGCCCGTGAAGGCGAACCTATGGCATGCGTGCCAGAGGTGGCACGTAGAGCTCTCTCTGTGGGCACGCAAGCGGTCGCCAGCTGCTCTACTGGATTTCAGCACATTGGGCTTCGCAGGTGTTGGCGCGCTGGATAACTGCCTGAAAAACGCCCCCAAAACAGACCATTTTTTCATGGCACTTTCAGGGCATTTTTGGGCCATTTTTCAGGCCAAGAACAGCCCCAAAAACAGGCATGTGCACACCGGCCAGATGGTCTTCGGGTTTCTGGCGCTTCAGGGCACTCGGTGGCAAAAAGGTTCCCCATCACTACTCTAGGCATTTGCAAAGGAAACTTGAATGGTCGGACCACAGACTAGAGATAATCAAAGAGAATCCAGACAGTCGCAGGGTACAAAACAATGGTTTGTTTCCCTGTAGGGATCGTAAAAGTTCATTAGTACCAATGGTGAAGATATGATGCTCATTAAGAGGTGATTCAGAAGAAGAGTACAAAGAGGTCGACATTCCTGAATGGGGGGCTTGGTATTCTAATAAAACTCATTCAATTCAACAGGGTAGAGATTAATCATGAATCCTGCTGTCTCCCCATGAAACAAAAATGGAGGTTCACATTGTGACTTAAGTAGACTCACCTGTCTTGTGTGGGCACTCAGTGTGGCTGGTGTTCATGTAAGAAAACTAAAAAAAAAAAGATAAATTGTTGGGTTATGACTCATCATATAAAACCTTGCAGTTAATACTTATGCAGATTTAATACTTAAGAATATTTAAGTCCCCCCCCCCCAGTTAACCTTGTACCTTTCTTCATTAAACATTTGTCATACAATCTAGAATGCGGAACTGCCCTAAATCAAAGGACTGAGCAATACTAAATCTTTTAATTATTGCCTCCAGGCTGAAGTCTGACTATCTAACTTGATTTTAATGACTTCCAGAAATAAAAAAATTTGGGGGGGGGGGAGATCTGTAATTCAACCAAGAATAATAAAATTCTTTTAAAAATTAAACTTTGCCAAAATCTCATTAGGTCTCCTGTATTTTAGCGTAAGCTTGCGTGGCATCTTGTACAAGATCAAAAAGATCATATGTGATTTGCCATCATTTCTATTGTGATCCAATAGGGGAAGTCATAGCGATGCAGGCAGAGTAGAGATACCTTGAAGATACCACATTAGCAAACCCGACATTAGATAGAACAATTAACACTGGAAGTTTTAAAGAATTGATTGGACAACCATTTGCCTGAAATGGGCTAGGGCACAAGTGTCCAACTTGCCATGTCACATTGCTGTCACGTGATGTTTCGTGACGTTTCTCCCCTTCACCGAGCTTGGGTGGGCATAGCCTGTGCATGATGCATTCAGGCTGCGGGCTGCCAGTTTGCCAACCCCTGTTCTAGAGTTTCCTGCCTAAGCAGGGGGTTGGACTTGAAGACCACCAAAGTCTCTTCCAATTCTGATTCTATTTTTATTCTGATTCTATTCTATTCTTATTCTATTCTATTCTATTCTAATTTATTCTATTCAATTCCAATTCTATTCTAATTCTATTCTATTCTATTCAATCCTATCCTATCCTAATTCTATTCTATTCTATTCTATTCTAATTCTATTGTATACCAAAGTCTCTTCCAATTCTGATTCTATTCTGATTCTGATTCTATTCTAATTCTATTCCATTCCATTCCATTCCATTCTAATTCTCTTCTAATTCTATCCTATCCCATCCCATCACATCACATCCTACTCTAATGCTATTCTATTCTATTCCAATTCTATTCTATTCTATCCTATTCTAATTCCGTTCTATTCTATTCTTCATTTGTAGTCCTGCAGACATAGCCTAGATTAACTCATCTAGAGTTACTATATCTTCATCTTCTGACATTACTTGAGATATTCCACAGAATTTAAAGAAAACGTGCATCTCATATGCTGCTAATGCCTCTTTCCTTGAAGAAATTTTGCATGCTTTTTTTAAATTCTGGTTTATTTAAAAGACTTATAGGACCACCATATTATACAATATACAATCTTATACAATATAATCCTGGATAACTACAACAGTCAGATTACTATACTGTAAATGTATGAAAAATACATTTTAAAAGAGGTTTTGATGACTGTTTGCTGGGTGTCAAAGACTTACAAAGAAGTAGTTTGGACTGAGTAATTTTCCTTTGGAATGGCGGACTTTGCTCTAGAGGTGATCCTCAATTTACAGCCATAATGGAGTCTGCCCGTCACAATGTTAAGTCGCGACTGACTCCATTTTATGACCATTTTGCAATGATCATTATATGATTCACTATGGACTGTTTTCCCCCCAAAAAATGGAAGTAAATGTCTTTTTTTGGGGGGGGGGGGGACACAAAACTCTCATAAAATGTGGCCACGTGACTCTGAGATCTTGCAAACAGCTGTAAATGCAGGCCAGTTGCCAAGTACCCAAGATATGGGCACATGATCATGGTGAGAAGGGTCACCTTGGAACTTTGGATCCGGTAAGTCCTCCACAAGGAAGTTCACCATCACTTTAAACGGTTACTAAGCAACTAGTCTTAAGTCAAGGACTCCCCCTATATATGTACATCTTAGCTGTGTACTTTCATAACAGTACAGATACAATCTACTTCAACTAGCCTCTAAACTAAATAAAATTCATGGCTTTCACTGCACGCTTGTACCTTCAAAATTCAGGCGGTTTCATTAGGCTTGTAATAGATCTCAGTAATTCAGTTCTTAAGAGGCAACTATCTCGTAAGGACACGATGGGTGTCTGTGTGTAGATGATTTATCTCTTACCTTGAAGCAGAGCTGTGGATTCACATCTACGCTTTCAATGCTGTATGCCTAGAGTAAGAACTACATGTTAGGACAATGGAAGGGAGCATCTCTCTCTCTGTGTCTCTTTCTCTCTCAAAACCCAAGATAGCCTTTGTGCCTCAAAATAACCC